GGATAACCTTAAGTACAAGGAAGGGCGAGGAGAACCCGGATGAGGTAGAGCATCAGGAGCACGATGATGAGAAGGATGATACAGAGGAGGAGGAGGAGGAGGAGGAGGAGGAGGAGGAGGAGGAAAGTAACGGCGAGAAGGAGGAGGAACGGCATGAGGATGCGGAGGAGAAGGGAAGACGATGAGGTTGCGTAGGAGGGTGGGCGGCGAGAAACACGATGAGGGCGGCGACATAAACAACGACGACGACATTAATAACGACAAGGGCGCACGCAAATCAGGAACATGAGGACGGTGACTCGGAGGACGAGAACAAGTTTTGAAGCCACGTTAGATTTAGAGTCGTTGATGGGGATGCTGGACCCGGGCCTTAATAGATTCCTCCTTCGTCGCTGCTCCGCGTCATCCTTCTGCTGCTGCTGCCCCTCACATCCCCCGTCCCTCCGCTGCTCTCTTGTCACGTCTCGCCCGCCATCCCCCCCCGCACACTTCTCGCTCCTCACTTTCCACGCTTGTCCAAGGAGGAATTAAAGAGGATCAGATGGGCCGCAGATGCGCAGAGTATCAAACAGCAGAGGAAGATACAGCGGAGGATGAGGATGAATAATATGATTGCCGTGACGAGGTGGATCGCAACGATGGCGGCGACCCGCCGACCATGACGACTGCAATATATCACAACAGCATCGGCGCTCAAGGTGACGACAACAATGGTTGCAATGATTCCTCATGAAATTGATTGTGAGTGAATTTGATGATGAGCGCGGTGGTGATGACGATGGCCACGATGATGATGAGGACGATGATGATGATGACGATGATGATGATAATGATGATAACGTCCACGACAACGATGAGGGTCCGGATGACGACGACGGCGACGACTACGACGAAGACGAATCGGATGAACGGGCGGCCGTCCGCCGCGGCAGAAGCGGACGGCCGGCCGAGGCCGCGGCGAACGCCCAAGAGATCTACGCGGCGGCCTCTGCTGAGAGAAAGTCTGCGCTGCAAGGCTCTTCTCAGCAAGGGCACCCGGGTGCCTCTGCTGAGAAGGCGTGGGTCTGATCCCGGGATCGCCCGCTGGGCGTGATGAGACGACGCCCTCCAAGTAGAGCTTGTTTCATCAGGGCCAGACGATGATCCCAGGGTCAGACACACGTCCTCTCAGCAGAGGCACCCGCGTGCCTCGCTGGGAAGACCCCTACAGCGCAAGCCTCATCTCAGCAGACGCCGCCGTGTAGATCCTAGACGTTCGCCGCGCCACGTGCTCTCAGCAGGGCCGCTGGGTTGGCCTTGCCGAGAACGCGTAGAATGCGGCGAACGCCTAAGACCCCAGGGGCAGGGGGCTCGATCGGAAGCGAACCGCTGTTGGTGTCGGCTGTATCTTCTGTTGAAATACCGATGCCGATCATGGCTTGGTACTGGTACCTGCACCGGCATCGGTACTGGTATCGATAGCGATACTGCTACCGACAGGCGCATAACCGTTCTTAGCATCAACATTCGCACAGTCCAAGGGGGCCCTGCGGGAGTCTGGAGGAGAGAGGGGGCTGCAAGGAGGAGCAGGAGGGGTATGGGGGGAGATGGAGGAGGCAGCAGCAGAAGGAGGACCAGGACAGGATGGAGACGAGGCGGAGAAGCATCACCAACATACCGATTTATAGGCTCAGTCCAGCATCCCCGAGAGCGATTTTGAGCCAGGATGGCTCCAAATATTGTTCGCGCGTCCACCGAATCATCGTCCTCCCGCCCCTGATTTGCCTGCGCCCTTGTCATCATCACAGTCGTCGTCATTGCTGACATCGTCCTCTATGCCAATATTTCTTGCCCTCTCCCCCTTCCCAAACCTCCTTCTCCTCCCCCTCCTTCTCCTCCCCCCCTCATCCCGTTCCTCCTTCTCCTCGTCTTTCCTCTCCCTCCTCCTCTTTTTTTTCTCACTATCACCATCGTGTTCCTGATGTTATTCCTCCTGGTTCTTCTCGCCCCACCTCGCTCTCCTGGTTCTCCTCCTCGCCCTCAAAGTTCTCCTCTCGCTGGAGATTTCAACGTGTACCAGGGCGTGTCAGAAATTCATGTTCTCGCCTCGGCGCCGGCTAACTGCCCCCTCGGGGCAGGGGCGCCTGGACCCCTCCTGGGGAACAACTCGATATTTGCGATGTAATGTAACAGGAAGCTTGGGCCTGGCCCCATCTGACTCCTCCTCTCCCACCTCTCGGAACCCAGTTGTGAGGATGTCTCAGGCAAAACTGACTGGGCCACCTCGTGCGCGGCATCTCGGAGCCCAGAGTTGCGAGGAGGTCTCAGGCGAAATTGGCCCGACCATCTCTCGCGCGGCATTTTGGAGCCCAGAGTTGCGAGGATGGATCAGGCAAATCTGGCCGGAGTACCTCGAGCGCATCATCCCTGTGCCCGGAGTTGCGGGGATGCATCAGGTCATATTGGCCAAGCGACCTCGGGCGCGGCATGTCTGAACCCAGAGTTGCGAAGATGTCTCAGGCGAAAATGGGCCAGATCACCTCAAGTCAGGAGCATCTCTGAGCCCAGAATTGCGAGGATGTCTCAGGCGAACCGGACTGGACAACCTCACGCGTCGCAATTTCGAGCCCAGAGTTGTGAGGATGTCTCTGGCGACATGGGCCAGATCACCTCAGGCCACAACAGTTCAGAGACCAAAGTTGCGAGGATGTCTCAGGCGAAACGGGCCCGACCACCTCGCACGCGGCATCTCTGAGCCTGGAGTTGCGAGGATGTCCCAGGCGAAACAGGCTGGACCACCTTATGTCAGAGTATCCCTGAGCCCGCGCGCGACTTCTTGGAGCCCAGAGTTGCGAAGATGTCGCAGGCAAAATTAGCCGGACCGCTTCGCACGCGGCATCTCGGAGCCCAGAGTTGCGAGAAGGTCTGAGGCGAGTTTGACTGGGCCACCTCGCGCCTGGCATCTCGGATCTCGGAGGTGCGTGAATGCCCCGGGCGAATGGGGCCAGACCGCCTCAGGTCAGGGCATATCTGAGCCCAGAGTTGCGAGGATGTCACAGGCGAATCGTGTCGGACCAACTCAGTCAGAGCATTTCCGATCCCAGAGTTTCGATGATGCCTCTGGCGAAACGGGCCCGACCACCTCGCACGCGGCATCTCTGAGCCTGGAGTTGCGAGGATGTCCCAGGCGAAACAGGCTGGACCACCTTATGTCAGAGTATCCCTGAGCCCACGCGCGACAACTTGGAGCCCAAAGTTGCGAATATGTCGCAGGCAAAATTAGCCGGACCGCTTCGCACGCGGCATCTCGGAGCCCAGAGTTGCGAGGAGGTCGGAGGCGAGTTTAACTGGGCCACCTCGCGCCTGGCATCTCGGATCTCAGAGTTGCGTGAATGCCCTGGGCGAATGGGGCCAGACCACCTCAGGTCAGGGCATGTCTGAGCCCAGAGTTGCGAGGATGTCACAGGCGAATCGTGCTGGACCAACTCAGTCAGAGCATTTCCGATTCCAGAGTTTCGATGATGCCTCTGGCGAAAATGGGCAAGACCACCTCGCGAGAGGTTTCTCGGAACCCAGAGCTGCGAGGAGGTCTCAGGCGAAGTGGGCCCGAACCACATCAATCCAGGACATATATGAGCCAGGATTTGCAAGGATCCTCAGGCGAGCCGGGCCGCACCTCTTCGCGCGCGGCATCTGGGAGCCCAGAGTTGCGAAGATGTCTCAGGCGAAATTGGCCAGACCACCTCGCGCGTGGCATCTCGCAGAGTTGGGGAGGATGTCTCAGACGAGAATGTCTGAAATAAGCTTTTCCAGATCACCTCGCGCTCGGCATGTCTGAGCCAAGAGTTGCGAGTATGTCTGAGGCGAAACGGGCTGGACATCCTCAGGTTAGGGGCATATCTGAGCCCAGAGTTGCGAGGACGTCTCAGACGAAATAGACTGGACCACTTCGCGCGTGGCATCTTGGATCCCAGAGTTGCGAGGATGAGTCAGGCGAAATGGGCCAGGCCACCTTGCCCCTGGCAGCTCGGAGCCCAGAGTTGCGAGGAACTCTCAACGCAACGCAGCGCAGCGCAATTGGAAGTGACGCAACAGAAATGCAATCCCATGCGTTGTAATGCCATGCCATGCAATGCAATGCAATGCAATGCAATGCAATGCAATGGGTATTCCATGCAAGTGCAATGCAGCATATGCAAAATGCAAGTGCAGATGGGCATGAGACAGAGGCTTCCACTGTGGGGGATGCGGGATAAAGAGAGAGAGAGAGAGGGAGAGAAGGAGCGCGATGAGGAGGATGTGGAGTTGTTTTCCAGGTCTCTCCATGCAACTTGGCATGAACCACAGTGCAACACCAGTAGCAGGAGGCGCGGCTGGCAACAGGATCCAGCACATCGGAAGCGAACATAGCAGGAACACGACGAGGGCCGCCGAAAGCCGCCGAGGGCCGCCGAAGGCCGCCAGGGGCTGCCGAAAGCCACCGGCGGCCGCTGAAGGCCGCCGAGGGGCGACGAGGCAGAGGATGTGAGTGGCGCGAGAGGAGGAGGGAGGAGAGAGGAGGAGGAGGAGGAGGAGGAGGAGGGGGGAGGAGGAGGAGGGAAGGAGGAGGAGGAGGAGGAGGAGGAGGAGGAGGAGGAGGAGGAGGAGGAGGAGGAGGAGGCGGAGAAGGAGGGAGGAGGAGGAGGAGGAGGAGGAGGAGGAGGAGGATGAGGAGGTAGGAGGGAGGAGGAGGAGGAGGAGGAGGAGGAGGAGGAGCAGGAGGAGGGAGAGGGGGAGGAGGCAAGGAGGAGGAGGAGGGAGAGGACGAGGTGGTAGTAGGACGTGAAAAGAGGAAGGAAGGGGAGGAGGACAGGAGGAGGAGGAGGAGGAGAAGGAGGAGGACGACGAGGAGGAACAACAAGACCAGCAGCAGGAGGCGGAGCTGACAACTGGACCAAGCACATCTGGAGCCCACTTAGCAGAACAGAAGCCCACTTAGCAGGAACACGACTTTCCTCCTCCTCCTCCTTCGCCTCCGCCCTCCCTCGGCTCCGCTCTCAGCGCCGTGCCGGCCCGACGCCTGGCGGGCCGCGGGGAGGGAGCGCTGGGAGCGCCGGTGGGCGGTACCCGGCAGGCGCACACAGAGGAGGCCCGCCGAGGGAGGGAGAGGGCATATGTTTTCTTGGCTTGTCGAAAGGGGCGACTGTGACGCACCACATGAGCGATGAGCAGACACGGACCTTACGCGAGATGACATCGAGGCTTTCCGCTGCGGCTTGCGCGGGCCGCCAGCGCGGCACGCCAAATTGGAAACGAGGGCGCTCACGCGCGACCTCACGCGGGACGCTTACGGGCCAACGTCGGCGAAGACGGCCCCGTTTTCGTCGTCGCCCACGTCTACTCCCGTGCACACCGTGGCGGAAGCGGCACGGAGGATGTTGAGCTGCGTGCCAGAGCCACCTCAGCCTGGCTCGAGCGAGGCAGCCAGAACAAGGGATGAGGAGAGGAGGAGGAGAAGGCGGAGGAGGAGGAGGAGGAGGAGGAGGAGGAGGAGGAAGAGGAGGAGGAGGGGGCGGAGGGGGAGCGAGGAGGAGGAGGAGGAGAAGGAGGAGGAGGGGACGGCAGGGGCGGGGGGACGGCAGGCGACTCGGCTACATGTAAGAGCGACCTTCCGCAAGAGTGACCTGGTGCGCGGCTTGCCAGCCGTTGCGTGCGGTGCGGCAGTGGCGGCCTGCGCGCTTGGGCCCGGCCCCGCAGCGCCCCCCCGAGAGCGGCGCACCAGAGGCCACTCCGGCGACTGGTCATGCCGCACGATGAGGATGCACGATGAGGATGCAAGGGCCTTGGAGGGCCGCTTCGGAGCTCTTCGAGCTGGGCGCGGCCAGCGAAAGCGGTCAAGGGTGGGTCGATGAGGCGAGGATGCAGGGGTACGCTCGGGAAGGTTGCTCATCCTCACTAGGCTTGAGCAAGGACCGACCGTCCCAGTATTCCTGTAGGCCGGCCACGAGATGTTCTTGGAAGCCCACAGTGCTCCAAGGACCGAAGTCATGCTCTTGGAACATGAACCCGATCTGTTGGAACAAGACAACACCAGCCAGCCAGATTCTAAGAACAACTCGTGCAGACCACAAAGAGGTTCTTAGAACATTCTTCGGTGGGGCTATAGGACAGAGGGAGCCGGCGGCCGGCACGGGGCAGGCGCACGGGAGGGAGTGCCCCTCTGGGGCTTCTGTGGAATCTCCTGGAGCCTGGCAGGGAATCCTCCACCCTCTCCAGCTCCTCCTGCTCCTCCTCCTCCTCCCCCTCCTCCTCCCCCTCCTCCTCCTCCTCCTCCACAATTACTCAATATGAATACTACTCTCCCTCTTCCCCTGATGGCGTGCTGGGAGTGGCCGACCCCCCCCCCCGCGCGTACTGATTTTTTACACACAGGATTCCCGGGAGTTGGGCTGCTCTCGCTGAGGCGCCAGCCTCATTTCTGCTCCCGAATCGTTCCGAATCGTGCTCCCGCTGCAGCGTGGGCCTCATTTTCGGATCGGTGTTTGGCCTCCGTCGTTCAGGATGGCGTTCTCGCCCCAGCGCGGGCCTCTTTCTCGCGCGCCCATCCACCCGCCACCACCGCGCCGCACCACCACCACCACCACCACAACCACCACCACCACCACCACCACCACCACCACCACCACCACCACCACCACCACCAGCACCACCAGCACCGCCACCACCACAACCACCACCAGCACCACCAGCACCACCAGCACCACCACCAGCACCACCAGCACCAGCACCAGCACCAGCACCAGCACCAGCACCAGCACCAGCACCAGCACCAGCACCACCACAACCACGCACACACGCACGCACGCACGCACGCGCACCACCACCCACTGGTTTGTTTTAAAACGGGGGGGGCACGTGTCTAACCGAGGAAGAGTCCGCTACGACCACGCGACCGCGGATAGAGAAAATCAGCGCCATGGTAAGGGACCATCATGGGAGCGCGAGGGGTAGGACGTCAGAATGGACGCGAGCGCACCTAGCTTGACCTCCTCCCCATTAATTCCCCCTCTCCCCCCCACCACCCCCCCCCCACTCTCCTCCCCCCTCCTCCCCCTCCTCCTCCCCCTCCTCCCCCTCCTCCCCCTCCGCCCCATCCTCCTCCCTCATGCCTCACCTTCCTCCTCCTCCTCCTCCTACTCCTCCTACATCAAGACATCAAGACACGTGCAAGTCTGGGTCGTGGGGTACACAGGCTGTTGCTTGCTGCTCCAGGTCCCTCGTACGTGCAATCCACCAATGCTCCAGGCGACGCGTCAATACACGTATCGGATCGTTGACGCATCTTGCACTTGACCAGCGCGCGGACGACTTGACAGTCACACGCAACCTGCTTTGGCCGTACGCTGCGCTGTCCAGCGAGGCGCCAACTTCTTGAGAAAGTGTTTTGCGTCACATCCTCGTCACAGACTTCTGAATCGGGTGACCCTCGGGTTACTTCGCAGCCTTGTTCCATAGTGCCTACTGCAGGTCCTTATGGATGGCATGCCCTCATGCCCTCGTAAGCCGATCCCCTTGCCAGGGTGGGCCAGGTCCAAGTCACGCTGTTTCAATCCGACGATGAAAACGCCCATGGGGCCCAGCTCTCTCTTCTCCTGTGCAGACGGAGCAAGGCCCAACATCTTGCCACCAACGTCGACTGCACGGAAGAGTGACCCTGGGTAAGACTGACCTTTGGTGCGCGGCTTCTTGGGGGGCGCGACGAGGCCAAACACAAGCGCGCAAGACGCTAATATCGCAACGAGCGCGGCGATCGGGGGACCCCAGTGAGCGCGCACCAAAGGACATTCCGGCGAAGAGTCACTCTTACGTCTAGTCGGGCCTTCCAACCAACCTCGATCCGGACAAACTGCTGCCTGGGCTCCGTGAGGGCTGCACCGCAAGGCCTCTTGGCCCGCAGGTTGGTTTTGCACAGTCAAGTCGCAACCTTTCGTTCGGAACCTAGCTGTAGGACAAAATGTGGGCTGCGTTGGTCTGAGGTCGGGCATGTCCTCCCCCAGGCGGATTTTGGAAACAAATGAATATTATTCCTGAGAGAACCCCAATCAGTGGATGATTTGAAACTTAGTCATATGGATCTTGCGATCGACTGTGAGATCGATAGTGAGACCGAGAGTGAAATCGATTCAATGAGTTCGATAGGGAGATCGATCGCGAAATCGCTCGTGCGATCTCTAATGAGATCAACTGCGAGATCGATTGTGAGATCGATTATAAAGTCGATGGTAGGATCGATAGAGAGGTGGGAAATGAGATCGTCGTTGAGACCGATCGATAAAAAGATCGACCAGGAACCCGGGAACCTGGGAACCTCGCCGCCCACCGAAATCGGCCCAGGAACCGGGAACCGGGAACCCGGGAACCCAGCGTGCGACCAAAATCGGCGGGAAACTTTCGCCAAATCCTTCAACCTCCGATAGGACCCCTTCAGTGCAAGAACTGATTGGGGAAATATAAAAAAATATTGCACCTGAGAAAACCCAAATCAGTGGATGATTTGGACATTAGTCATATGAATCTTGAGATCGATTGTGAGATCGATCGTGGAATCGAAAGAGGACGATTGTCAGGTCGATCGTGAGACCGAGAGTGAGATCGATTCAATGAGATCGATCGCGAGAATCGCTCGTGTGATCTCTAGTGAGATCAAATACGAGATCGATGGTGAGATCGATAGAGAGGTGGGAAATGAGATCGTCGTTGAGACCGATCGATAAAAAGATCGACCAAAAACCCGGGAACCTGGGAACCTCGCCGCCCACCGAAATCGGCCCGGGAACCGGGAACCCGGGAACCCGGAACCGGGAACCCGGGAACCCAGCGTGCGACCAAAATCGGCGGGAAACTTTCGCCAAATCCTTCAACCTCCGCTAGAACCCCTTCAGTGCAAGCACTGATTGAGGAAATTGTCGAATAGCATTTAAGCATAGTCAACAATAGTAGACACATCAGTCCAAGCCTATCTATTTTGACTGTTCTTGAATATCCATCCTGTAGAGGACATGACCGACGTAACGTTGGTCTGCTGTTCGAGAATGGCCCTCACTCGCTTCTCACCAGCGGGTCGTCGAGTCACCACGGCGGAGGGCGAGAGGGTCGGGAGAGACGGACGGGGGGAGCGACAAAAGGAATTCGTCAAGCACAAACCTCGACATCGCTCAGACGTGCATTGCCCCTGCATGTTTCGGTGATGGTGCGTGTTCGATGTTTGCCAGATGGCCCAGGATGCTCCTCGGTAGTCCCCGCCGAGGAAAACATGCACACGTCCGATCGATGTCAAGGGGCCCCAGCGGGAGGCGGAACGGTGGGCGGGCCCCAGGAGCCTTCCCAAGAGGACCCACAGAGTCCCAAATCATTGATGTAAAATGTGTTGTTGACCGATGTTAGCGCTCTCGCCTTTTCGGGATCCCGACGTAGGCCCCCAAGATCGCGCCCCCAAGACGGCCCGAGAGGTCCCCAATCACCGCTGCTGTTGGTGCCTTCTCCTCCTCCTCATCGTCATCCTCCTCCTCCTTCGTCATTATGATGTTATCATTCGCTCTGTTTCCCTCCCCCTCGTCCACCTCATTCTTCTCCTCTGCCTCGTTACCTCTCTCTTTCTGCAATCCTCCTCCTCCTCCTCCTCCTCCTCCTCCTCCGCTCCATCATCATCTGAACTGTAGGGGGGCAAGCAGAGAAAAAGACAGAGAGAGAGAGAGAGAGAGAAAGAGAGAGAGAGACAGAACGGTCTGCGCTTCTGAAGGGGCCCCAGGACACACAAATGAATAGACACAAATAAAATAGTCCCCCATATTTTCGCATATTTTCTGGGTTTTTGTCTTCCCCCCCACTTCCTATATTTTCTCATATTTTCCTGGAAATCGACAAATAATTGTGTCTGTGTGTGTTTTCCCCCTCCTGAGCTTCCTCCAACAAGCACGCCCCGCGACGCGGCCCCAGGTCGAGGGCCACCGTCGGCTACTTCCACCGCGCCGCCGCATGGATCGCTCACGCGCAAGCACGGCTTAGCGATCC